GTTCTTATTGATTCATTAACTCTTACAACTCCTTGGTTAGTAAAATTATTTTCTGTTTTATCATTTAGAAATTCATTCCAAGCATTTGGGGTATTGTTCAATTGTACACATTTTGTAACAATATAAGCCAAACTACCCTTAAAACTCATATGATTAAGATTATGCAATCTTACAAAAAGATTGTTTTTCTGTAACAACTTAAATGGATCGAATGGTTGATGAGTTTTTTTTAACTAAATCATTGTTTTCTTCAACAGTTTTTTGTCCGCTGTACGGAACACCTAGACCATGGTTAATTCCTTTAATACGCCAATCCTTACCCGTAGAAATATTAAATTTCTGACAAATACGTTCATACGCGAACCTATTGTATGGATTATTTGATGAATTCCACTAATTTCTTTAAGTATACGTCTAATCTGATAGTACACGTGAAATGATAAAAACAGACTTATTTAGTTCAAATCCTGGGGCATAAAGAGATACACCTCATCCTGTTGTTGCACACCATATGACAAAGTTTAACTCATTCTGCCAAAATTGCATCGGATTGTGAAACCAATCGTGCACCATTTTATCGCTAGTTGCCGTTACCCTGTATTTTTCAAAGATATCAGGGAATTTAACAAAAAAATTAGCACCAGAGGCACTTACTAAAATCGATTAATTAGTAATATAAGTTGATTTCATATTTAAGTTATGATATAGTATCATTGTATATTTAATATGTATGTTACTCCTGGGAATAACAAATGGTCAGTCTATTCAACTGCTTCATTATATCGATAACTCGGATGGACAACTTGAAGTCGCTATCTGTGATGTAAGTTCTTATGGAAATAGTCTCAAACAAAATGAGTCGAATGGGATACTGATTTTAAGCGCTGGAGAAAAGGATGTAAAGCTTTACGAGAACTCACCAATTACACTTGGATTTGCAATCGGAGATATAACATTAATCAAGTCAACATTTGATGGAGATACATTACCCGATTTAGTTCCCTATAAAGAGTTGTACATCCATCTTGATCAAATAAGCACGACGGATAATATTCAACTAGAAAGTCCTTCAACTCTACTCAGATCTATTCCAGTGAAAGATGAATACAATAGCGGTAGAACAGACTCTTTCTCAACATTACAATATAAAAAATTAAAGCGTGGTATTATTTCAGTCCTCAAAATTTCTGTATTAGATGTAAAACGCCAACCTGTACGTATAGGATACTTAAGTGTCACACTCCATATTATAAATAATGGTTGATTCACCAGGCCCTGGAACGCTCAGGCAATGTAATACAATTGCGCTTTCCGATCTCGGACCCACAGAAGGATTCGGTAAACCCGGTACCGATGGCAAGTTATACGCTTTACACTTACAAGATAATATATACAAGCGGAAAGAAGTTACATTCACAGGTAATCATGAGGATTTAAGTGATGTCGACATTAGTAGTCTCCATAAAAACACTTTTTACAATCTTATTCTCAACGGTGATAATAAATGGACTGTGGTCGAAGCAAACATCGAGTGGCTACTGAATATCGTCATTACCCCACCGTATGTGATGATGGGTAAGGCACATAATTTAACTAAGATAATCAATAGTGGCATCGTACTCGTGGCTTATATCCCATCAAAACGAAAAAGTGTGTAAGTCACCCCCCTACCTGAAAACCCAGGTCATATGTTATATAGTCGTCCGGCAGTCCAAAATGTTAGATTAAATTTGGTTACTGAATCCAATGATATTAAACTGCACTTGAGTGCAATACCTAATTTTGTTCGGAGATGCACACGAAGATGCCTTCGAAATATTACCAGGTCTATCGATTAAATGGCTAAAGAAACACCAACGTCAACGTTGCAGTATTATTCAGATTGGAGCATCACCCGTATAATATTCATTTGATAAGGTTGATGTGTACTCTCAAAACATTTAAGCAAGACCAATTAAAGACTATTATATGACCGTAATATACACTATGAGTTTATATCCGGCGCTCGATGAGGCATTTGAAAAGATGGATACTGTTGATGGATTTCGATTACATCAAATAAGCGACATAAAACATCGAATAGAGAAGGAGAGGGAGTTTAGACTTGTATAAAAAGTGTCGCAGAGCCGTGAATGCTCTGGATGGAGTTGACACTGCACTTGTGACAGCTGGCATGGGACTCGGTGTAGCCGGTGTTGGTCTATTATCAACTATAATCGCCGCGCCTATCGTACTTGGCATGGAAATAGCTGCCGGAGTCTCAGGACTGGCAGGAATAGTGATAAAATTCATTTCTCGTAAGTTGCAAAAGAAAGCATTAAAACACGATAATATTTGGATACTCGCCAAAGCAAAGTTGAACAGCATTGTGGATCATATTTCAACAACAATTGTAAGCTATCTGAGGAGGAGTTTCGTTTAGTGTTGTCGGAACTCACCAAATACAATGCAATGAAGAAGGAGATTTGGTAAAATTGGTATTAGCGAAGACGAGAAAAAAAAGTTAACAGAACAGGGGAGACAACAAGTGCGTCAATTATTCCATGCCAAAACCAAAGAACTGGTTGGAGATTAAAAATAGATTGCTTACTATCATAAGATCACATTTAGAAGAATGCTTACATAAATATATAATAATGGAATTTATGCTCAAGGACAAAATTATCAAATGGAGAGAATTACCACAAGGTATATATAATATCAGTAATGTAAAACCAACTAAATACGGTCATCAATTGTTTCTTACCAATTACCAAGAAGAGTATATATTCTGGTCTCCTAGTAAAATGAACAATGAACTGAGTAAAAATGTTGAATATCACTTCATTAGAAATAATGGTATACGTATTAGTAAAAATAATAGAGAATATTTTCATTACAATTTAGTTTAATCTCATGACTATCGTTGAATCGTATCGTCATTTTTACATAAACAATTCCCTCTGTAGTGGTGGTATAGGTATATATATCTTGCTCCAGTGGAAGTGGTCCAGAACCCCCATTGCATATAAAAATGTATATCATAGAAGCATTGATTGACTCCAGGTAGTGGTGAGCTAGAGTCAATTTAACTTAATCTCATGAGTATCGTTGAATCGCATCATTATTTTTGCATAAAAAATTCCCCCTGTAGTAGCAATATAGGTATATAAATCCGGCTCCAGTGGAGTTGCGGCAGAACCATCATTACCTATACTACTCAACTCACCTCTCCTTTGGAAGAAACTCCTGTGACGGTTCAAAATTTGTTTGAAACCCTTGACATGGAGGTCACTCCTTCTCACTCAGTGCATGAGAATGGCGCTTCTACACGCTCACGTACCCTGGTTGAACCTCCATGAGCAGGTCTCTTAATTTAATACAATGGAATTGCAGAGGACTTAGGAACAATTTTAGTGATCTACAATTATTATCACAAGATTTCCAACCATCAGCTTTTAGTTTACAAGAGACATATCTGAAAAATACCAATAAATTTGATCTTCGTCAGTACAATTCTTATCATTTATTTTCACCTCCAGGCGATAAAGCCACTGGTGGTGCTTCTATTTTGGTAAGGCAGGGTGTCATCCATAGCCCAGTCTCTCTTAAAAGCAACCTTCAAGCTGTTGCAGTTCGACTTTCTTTGCACATAACCTTCACACTTTCCTCCTTGTACATTTCCCTGTCTACCTCCATTCAGCAGTCTGATCTTCAAAATTTGTTTGACCAGCTCCCTCAGCCCTGTATCACCAAGGGCGATCTAAATGGGCATAGCCCTCTATAATTTAAATATGTATGTGAATAATTAAATGCTTGTTTTTTAAATTTGGTGTGATGCTATTATCAACTGACTTTATTGAAAGCTCTGTCCAGGAGGTTAAAGCATCGTAGAATTATTGTCCCCCTGTGTGACACATAATCATATCATAATGGATGTAACTATCACCCACCAGTGTTTTTAAGCCAACTCATTGCTGATTATTTTTTAATATTGGCTAGCATTGTGCACAACCACCAGTGGCTAAAGTGATGACGTAATTCCTGCTATGTATCGTGCAGTCCCAATGATCCCCAGCGAGGTGGCCTAGCTTTGGTTACTTGGCCTGATGCTGTTTTAAACTGTAAAGAATGATATTGTTATGCTCAAATATGTTTCATAACTTGTTTTTAAATATTACTTTGCATAAATGAATGACTTGTTAATATATTAACTTGGTCTGGTCGCTATATGGCTGGAATAATGTTGATGCGACATTAAATTTTAACCCACTCAGTTACAGACGAGGGAAAAGATGCTTCTTTCTATTTCAAATGTCAACCTCAAGTCCTTTGGACAAAGATCTTTCTCACACTGTGCCCCATTCCTATGGAATCCTTTGATGATTGATCTGAAGACACTCCACCCCTTTCTGTTTTCAAGCCAAAACTCAAGACATATCTAGACAAGTTTTGAGCAACAACAGTGGATGGAAAATAGCGCCTAAACAATGGACTTATCATTATCATCAATATCTCGAACCTATTCTCCTGTTTGACCGCTTATCTCGAATTCGAGATAAAAATACATAGCGTTATTTTGTAACTTGTACTTGGGCCCAACTTTGACATCACTATAGAAATGTGAAACTTTATCTCGAAGTTGGCATTTGTATATCCAATTCATTCAAGATTCATCTTGTACTAGATATGATGCATTTTTATTTCATGAGACTGTTCTGTAACTCTTATCCATATATGTAGGATGAGATGCGAACGCAGCGAACACTTTCTGCTTCCACAAAATACATATTTAAGTTCCCAGTGTTGTTGATTAATTACACTGAGTATCTACAATGAATTGGCATTCCATCAACCGAGCCACTAAATGATCTAAGCATTATAACCAGGTGCATCTCAAACAGGTAACTGAAAGAATGATTCTTGATATAATTTGATACTACATTTGATAGTATTTGGCCGATTACATTGAGACACATTGCCATTACCTTACCATGCCAAGTACAGAAATAATTACTCACCTGTCCTGTACAAATGTTTCAGTGAAATATAGACTTCTAACTGTTCTTCACGCTGTTAAACCCAAAGCCTATACACGGTATGCATATTGTATTTTCCCTGAGATATAGAATTAGATTTCCTAGAAACACGAATCAATAAATACAGGGCTCAAAGAAGAGTATCATAATAGAATCAATGATTAAGAAGAAAAGCCGGTTCAGCGTCAGGTGACTTCTACAGGCAATTTCACATAAACATAGACAGGTATCTTTTGCCTTCGGCCCGGTTATGTTAGGACGCAATTTTTGTTTGTTGTTTGACGCCGCACTCATCAATAGTCCAAGTAAATGACGGCTGTATGTAAATAATCAAGTCTAGACCAGACCATCCAGTAATTGCTATGATGAACATCGATCAACAGAATTGGGATGCGATGACTTGCATCAACTGGAACTGTATTACCCCCCAAAAACAAATTGCCCCACATTATGTTTGAAAGAAGTTATCCTTTAAGCAGATAATAGATTATGTCACAAATTTTACATTATTGAGATGATTTTTGTTAAAAAAACATTTTGGCTCATAGTTTAAATTAAAATGGTTTTGCATATGTGACAGAAAAAATATCTATTCTCCATACAAAATCTGATTCCCAATCTACCCCACTAGTATGTATGGTACTTTTTTCTGTTCTTCGCTCGATCTGCCGTACTGTTTGCATTACATTAAGACATAGTATTCGCGATTTTGTGCATCTCGGATTCATGATGTAAGACGCCATTCTACGGATATTTGCGATATTTTCGGAATGAGATGGATCCAGTAAATCGTTGTCCATCGGTCACGGTTCGTTTAAAAAAGGCGGTGTCGGTGTGTTGTAAGAGTGCAAACAGTGTGTTGTCAAAAAATGAACTCTGGAGTCCCGAATAAGGAGTGAAATTGGCTGGTTATCCCGGCCTGGGGATAACACCGACCTTCTTATGATGGCGACTGTGTCTCTCTATGGCTTGAACGCCAGTACAAATGGAATGACGCAACCTTCTATGCTGCAATGCGGTACTTCTATTCATCAGTAGCCATAATGGATAAGTGAAGTATTCAGTCAGTCCATGTTCACTATTGTACTCATAAGTAGTTAGCATAACTGGTCTAAGACCAGAAGAGCTTATAAATGGCACATTGGCCATCAAGTTTGATGTATATATGTATGCTAACTTAGGACCAGTTGGTCATTATTGATAATGGAGGCCACATTACGGTTGCACAAACGAATCAAGGAACATTTGATAGATTCTTAACATTTTTGAAACCGAGATATTGATGGATTGATACTTGGATAGTTCTGTTATAACGTTAAACATGCAGCTCAAAAACATTAGAAAATGATAACAAATAAAACCATTATAGCTGCAATGAGTAGTTGCATTAGATATAGTTTGGGACAGATTTTTTAGCTTAAAAGGAATCAATAGATAAAAGACATTTCACATTTATCACAAGTGTATTCTGGACATTTCATAATTATCATTGGATTGGTTCCTGGCTATCGTCCATTAGTTCCGAATGCGTGTCACAAAATCAATAGAGAGATGAGCGATCTGGCACGTAGGCTTCTGTATTTTTCCGATTACGACACACATGAGTTCATAGTCAGATCTAACTTTTAACGAATCAAAATGAGGTATTGTGACATGTGACAAGGACAGGCCAGGCTCGAACACTATAAAATGATACCTTCAACATAAGGAGTGGAGAGCGCGGTTTGCAATCGATCGAGTCGAATCCCGATCGTTCTAAGTTTCCCCAGTTAGTGACGAGTCTGGTCGGTCTTATCCTCTCCTGTACTGATAGATGGGCTGAGAGTAAGTAAAACCATGTGAGTATAAAACTGGTGTTGCGTTTCTTTATTATGCGTGTGTGAATGCTGATAGAGACAACTTGGAGTAAGTGTCGTTAGACCAATCACTCCTTGACGGAGCTGAGCCGCAGCGGACATTGCGAGTGGCAATGTCATGGCGTAATTGACCACAAGGACCAGGAACGGCAATATTTTTAGTAACTGTATTTGGGTCGCACTTGACGCCCGAAAGCAGTTACGACATGGTGGAGCATGCGAGTTTTTTCTTGAACAAAATGTTTAATACGATCCCATTCTTTGTTTTTCGTATTGTCGTTCTCATCCTTCAATTCCGTCGCCACACTCAGACTTACGTTTGACGGTACGGTTTCATTTTGACGTATGGATAGGGTATTCTGGACTTACATATTGCACTTGGGCTGGTAATGTCTCATACACCAAATTCTGATACATCTCCGTCAGGTGTCCGTCTTGCCCCAGCTCGCCTCCTTACTGGTACGATTTTCACAAATTCCCCCCGAGTTGTCATAACTCAACCGCCCTCCCAACCACCCCCACCACCCCCTCCCAACCACCCCCACCGCCCCCTCCCCAGGACCCCTCTCCCCCTATTTCTGAACAGAATTTGGACTTATCACCCTCTACCAACGAGCTTTTACATCAGTACGCTTGTGTTCTCCCTGATGTTTCCTCATTAAGTTCTACCTCAGGCCCCGACGTACAAAATCCACCCCCTGACTTCAATGAGGGAGATTCGACCTTGATGCCATAACATTTCACTCGCAGAGACACGACGCATGCTGCTGAATGGCTTGACCGTTTCCTTCATTTTGGAAACTTTAAAAAGTGGACTGACGCACAGAAAGTAGAAGTTTTTCCACTATTTTTGAAGGACTCGGCGTATCTCTGGTATAAAGTTCTTATACAATCGCTAGGGGAAGATATCATCATTTTCGATGAGGTAGAGAAATTATTCAGGGACAAGTACGTCCACCCAACTGACCGGTGGGCCCTCCTAGAATCTTTCGTGAGACGTAGGTTATCCCCAACTGAACCTATAGACACGTATTTAGCGGATTTGACCCAAACAGCTAGCCTTTTAGGTAAGACTGACATGGACTTGATGGATGCATTTGTTCGGGGACTGGATGACGGTACAAGACAACACGTGCTAATGAAACAGCCGACGGCTCTGAACGGAGCTGTTTCGTTTGCATGTTTGGCTCGATCCATAATCCCTCAAATTGAAGAAAATGCAGGTGTGAAGTTGGCAATCAATACTCTGAGAGACCAGATTGCAAAACTCGCACCATCGTCGTCCAATATTAATACCTTCCAGTCACAACAGAATCGATATTCCCAATCCCCCAGACAGTCCTCTAGGTATACAACTCGGCCATGGCAGCCTCCCCAACAGCAGTTCCAGCCACTCTCGTATCCGGACGGACCACACCAGCAGAGACGCCAGCCCCCTCCTCAACGCACACAGTACAGCACTGGACGGACCATGGCTCGGGCACGCGCCTGTTACAGATGCGGTGTTGAGTATGATTTCTCTCACCCTGATAGATGTCCCGCACGTAATAAAAGGTGTCATTATTGTAAGAGAGTGGGACATTTGCAACGTGTTTGTAATGTCCGGTTGCAGTCAGGAGCTCCCCAAAGCAGATAGCAATTAAATTCACGACCACGCAGGCCACCATGCCACTGTGCTGAGCATGTTTTTGACCCCACTAACTTGCACTCCCGTGAGTCGCCGGTTACTATTTCACCAAGTTACAATCGGCCTCAATCTCCTGTTTTGCAAGTCACTTAAAAAAATGACAACATTAAGGATTCATGTTATTTTGGGAGAACAGTTAGTTTCTACAATTGTGAAGTTTTTTTATGACTCGGGTCTGTGGAAAGAAATCCCCATTCAAAAGTCTGATGTGACCTCTCTTCAAGGAATAGGTCAAAATATTGTACCAGTATTAGAACAAGTTTTACTTCCCATCACTATTGGTGATTTCCAAATGGAACAACGCTTTCAAGTAGTTGCAGAGTTAGCGTCACCAATGTTTTTAGGATTAGATTTTCTGATTCAGAAAGATGCTGTCTTAAATTTCCAAACTTGCACTTTGACTCAAAATGGCTCAACAGTTGTTCCCATTTGGACAAACAATGATATCCCACCCCCAGTATCTGATCCCCATCCACAGACGATAGAGCAGGAAACCATCCCGGTTCGAGCACAGCAGGCATTCACAATTCCCCCTCAGTCTGAAATCATTTTCCCAGTTTACATGGGTTGTTCCCCGTCTGATCAGGTAGGCATATGTTAACCTAACCCAGTCCTATCGGAAACACATCAGGTTTCAGGTGCTCGTTGTCTTGTTTCGGCAAGTTCAGGGAAAAGCGTGTACCAAATTATTAACACTAACGATTTTGCTGTGGACATTCCAAAAGGTCATGAAGTTGCGCATTTCACTTTGGTACACTCCGATGAAATTACACCTCTACAGTCACATTCCCCCTCCGAATCGGAACCCTCCCTCTCTCAGTCAGAAATAGACACGAGATTAGGTGAGTTGAATATTGATTTTCTTTATCCCACTTGTCACAGGAGCAACAAGCACACATAGGTCAGTTGATAGCCAGGTATCGCGACTGTTTTGCCATCAGAAATTGGATTAAATGATTCAGTGCAACATGATATTGCTACAGGAGATGCCCCACCCGTTAGGCAAGGATTTTACCGTACAAGTCCTGCTATGCGTGCAGAGATAGTTCGTCAAGTTCAGGAGTTAGTAGACTTAGGCATATGTGAACCAGATCATGATAGCCCTTTGGCTTCTCCAGTTGTCATGGTGCCTTAGAAACAGACTAAGGGTTCTACTCCAACATGGCGTTCTTGATGTTTTGGGCACAGCACATGCAAAATAGTACACAACTATAGATCTGGCAGCGGGATATTGACAATTAGCGCTGAATGAAGAAAGTAAACCCAAAAGTGCATTTGTGACAGCTAGTGGTACCTATCACTTCAATCGTATGGCTTTTGGTCTGGCCTCTGCTCCAGCAACATTTCAAAGACTGACCAATGACGTTTTCCACAATCTAAATTGGCGTAAAACAATGTGCTATTTAGATGATGTTTTGTGCTTCTCCTCGGATTTATAGACACATTTTGAAGATTTAGCAGAAGTATTTTTGTGCCTACGCAACGCAAATTTGAAAGCGAAGCCATCAAAATGC